ACAACGAGGGGCCGCTCACAGTGGATGGGCGGAGGGACGCGAGCAAAGGACGGATCAATCCGACTAACTGCGTCGCCTCTCTCTCTCTGTCTGCTCTGCTCTCTCGCTATACATATTAACAACCATGGATCGATCGGGTTATAAGAAAGGCGAATGTAGCACCAGCCGAATATTGTATATATTTATCATATATATATATATATATTATATATATATATATACATATATATATTGTACGTTTTAACAGAAATACGATAAGTTATTTTTATACACCTTATATATAAATATAGGAAAGGTAAATGACGTCAAGAACCTCCTATAGATGGCGAGACCGTAGCGCCGGCTGGCGGCAATGATGCAGGGAGGACGAAAGTGACAATTGTTGACGACACTACTAACTACTAAACAACTACTTAATACATTATGTGTACTACGCGGTTTCGCTGCCCCAACTAGCTCTAGCTCTCATGATCCTGGCTGTACGTCACCACACAGGGGACAGAAAAACACGATAACCCTCGCAATTGGTCTCACACGACATTAAATTCTCAACGGGAGAGGAGAAAGGAGGGAAGGGAGAGAAGGGAGAGAGGTAAGAGGAGGGGCTGAAAGAGTGAAAGACATAAGGGGTCATCGACGAGGATTGGGGGAAGAAAGTGGACGGAGTGAGAGAGGTCGAGAGGGGGATGGGGCGGAGAGAGAAAGTTGAGGAAAGGCGTATGCTGGCTGTGTATTTTCTGATTCATCCTGCATGAGAATGAGAGAGTTGTTTCACAGGCTGTAGTCTGCCCCCGGTGAGAGAGAAAGGGAGAAAGGAGGAGGAGGGGAGAAAAGGGAAGAGGGAGAGGAGGGGACGAGGGCGAAGGGAGAGAAGGCGAGAGGGGGCAGAGAAGCAGTGTGGGGGAATTAGGCGAGAGAGAGGGGAATGGATGAGATGATAAGGCCGAGGATAACAATCAGTAAGTGATAGGCGGGAAAAGGACAGCGGATATAGAGGAAAGAGTGCTTAATGCGGTGGCGCAGTTTATAGAAAAGAGCGGCGACGGGGTGCTGGGGGCTGTAACAGGAGTGTCTTTTGCACGTGGTACAGTGAAGCTAGGTTCAGATCGATATAGCCACATCCATAAAATCCCGGCTAGTCAATATCTACTGTACCATTGAGAGTGGGAGTGGGTGCTTGTTATTGTGATAACTACTCTTGAACGCACCCAGAACGCTCGAAGCAGGCACGCTCGCACCCAGAACGCTCTAGTGTTGAATGCGTGCACGACATACGTTGTGTGTCCTCCCTCCTCTCTCTGTCTCTCTGTCTCTCTCTCTCTCTCTATATATATATATATACAATGGCGTGTATGTGGTGCACGTGTTTATCTGATTTTATGTGGCCATGGCCGTTATCTAAGTTTATTAACTATATAACTAACGCCGACGATTCGGTATGACGCATGCGCACTATCGATCTTACTTCCTTCCGCCATCTTCTACGAGGGAGGGGGGGGTTAAGTTCTCCATAACACGCTCCATCTCTCGGTGTGTTTTGTTAATCTGTGCTTTGGGGCATATATATCTCCTTTTGGAATGTCACGCGATGGGTTTTCGATGGTTTGCGATATACATGTATATACATGTATATATATTTATATACTGTGGGCGAACGTGGGCGTTGTTATTCTTTTTCGTGATGATATCATGTGCAATGTTTCGCTTTTGTACAAAGTGTTTAATATGGATAATGTATTCCGTGTCGCTGGGAAAGAGTAAAGAAGCATGTTCGTGCGTGCGTGCGTGCGTGCGTGCGGGTGTGTGCGTGCGTGCGTGCGCGCGCGTGTGTGTGCGTGCGTGCGCGCGTGTGTGTGCCGGTTTGCGTGTAAATATTTATATAACCATAATAACGTGGTGAATGGGTGCCTGCGTGCGTGCGTGCGTGCGTGCGTGCGTGCGTGCGTGTGAGCGAGAGAGAGAGAGACAGGATTAGGTGACTAGTGTTAACATATAATATTATATATATATAATAGCTGTAGCTGTGGCTACGTTGTGTGTGTTGCACCTCTAACAGCTTAACGTGTAAATATGGTATTTTGTATCCAATATAAAGCATCCTGTATATGAATATTGATGTAAATTCACTCGTTTGTGTTTTTTTTTTATGGAAATGCAATTACTGGATAACAACTACATCAATGCAATAATTAATATTTCAAGTTATTATTAATACTGGCTCTCAATCATATTTTATACACGAATAGGTCGAGATTCTGTGCTAGAGTCACGGAGTATATATATATGAGTAGCATTCACTCTATAATATTAATTAGAATTGATAAATACATTAATTATATGCGATAACCAGATTCGGGTACACACAGGGGCGTGTACAGGATTTGGACCAGGGGGGGTCTAACCGTAACCCATACTTGCGAGCACGCGAAGGGGGGTAGGGACAGACAGACAACGAGACGACGGGATCATGAATACAACTAAGACTAGCACACCCGTACTCATTGCACGCGCGCGCGCGGGAATCGGAACACACGTGCTAATGCCGTATTTCTCTCTCGCTCAGGGGGAAGTCTCCTGAATGGTACAACCGTGCTTACGGTCACATCGTCGCCGGCCACCTCGCGCGCATCCGCGACTCCTTCCGCCAGGCGACGCCCACAGAGGGACCAGAGACGAAGGTCTAGCAGCCAGGGGGCGCCAGCATAGCGTCCAGAGGGCGCCACCTCCCAGGATGCCGCGAGAGAGGAGAGTGGCAGCGTGTTTCGCCGTGCGGTAGGACGGAGCGGGAACACAACAACGACAAACAAACAAACAAACAACGAGGGAGA